CCGTTTCAATCCAGATGTATATTGTAAAATAAAATAATGGACAAATACACTGCGAATTTTTAAACACTGATGGAAACAAAAAGGGGCTTCTGGTTCATTCTAGATTTCCAGAAAATCAGCCTTAAATGGAGTCCCTATCTTAGCCCTGTTGCCTTTATCAGAGGATTAAACTTTCTTCAAAATTTAACCCAAAATACTCCTTTCATAAGCATGTTGACTGAGATTTTACTATTGAACTTTTCTAGTTTTTTTTTGTTGTTCAAATATAATTAACATACAGTTTCAGGTGTACTGTATAGTGATTCAACAATTCTATACATTTCTCAGTGCTCATCACCAGAAGTGCACTCTTAATCCCCTTCATCTGTTTCACCCATCCCCCACCCACCTCCCCTCTGGCAACCACCAATTTGTTCCATTTAAGAGTCTGTTTTTGCCTTTTTTTCTTTGTTCATTTATTTCTTAAATTCCACATGAGTGAAATTGTGTGGTATTTGTCTTTCTCTGTTTGCTTTCACTTAGCACAATACCCTCTAGGCCCATCCATGTTGTTGCAAAATGGCAAGATTTCATTCTTTTTTATGGCTAATATTCCATTGTATATATTTGCCCCATCTTCTTTATCCATCCATCCATCGATGGGGACACTTGGGTTGCTTCCATAATGTGGCTATTGTAAATAATACTGCTCTAAACATGCGGGTGCATATATATTTTTGAATTAGTGTTTGTTTTCTTTGGGTGTTCCTCAAAAAAATTAAAAAGAAGGGGCACCTGGGTGGCTCAGTCTTTAAGCATCTGCCTTCAGCTCAGGTCATGATCCCAGGGTCTTGGGGTTGAGCCCCACCATCGGGCTCCCTGCTCGGCAGGGAGCCTGCTTTCTCCCTCTCCCTGCTGCTCCCCCCTACTTGTGCTATTTCTGTCAAATAAATAAAACCTTTAAAAAATTTATAAAAAATAATTAAAAATAAAAGTACCATATGAACTTTTCTAGTTTTCAATTACAGTTAATTCTTCTATCAGTACTGACAACCAAGAAATAGTTATATTATAAAGATAGCTTGGGCAAGTTACTTGACTTCTCTGAGCATCTGCAAAATGATTAAAATATCCATCACTGTGTTGAGGACCAGATAAGATGATTTGTCTATGTAAAGTGCTTACCTTGGTACCTGGCACACAGTAACATGGCTTGGGCTTTGAAGTCAGACAGACCTGAGTGCTGACCTCCATTCTGTTCCTACCTATGTGACCTTAGGCAAATATCTTAACTTCTTTGTGCCTTAATTTCCTTATCTGCAAAATGGGGTAATACCTAAGGATTTTGGAAGAGGTGAATGAATACTAGTAGGGTGACAGAAGCCAAAATTAACCTTTTACTTAAAATTTTGTTTTTAACTATTTTGTTGTAAATTATTTTTGCTCTTTCATCTCTTTTAGGTCCTTCCAGCTGTGCAATTTGCCAGTGTCTCGGCTACACGTGCCCTGCCAAGCACTGCGTAATCCATACGGTAAAATCAAAGACCTGAAGTAAGTTGAACTTTGCTTTAAACACTTAGGTATTTGCAAGGTAAAGATGGGGTTGCTAGAAACTGCACTGATCGGACCTGAAAACAAAATATAACTAGTCCTCAGCTTCTCCACAGTGGAACAGCAAATGATAAGATATGCTACGAACCTAGAAGGGGTAGAGAGTCAGGCACAGATCCCTGCTGGCCCCTCCAGCCTCTTCCCCTTTTGTATGTGCTATTTTTGCTGCAGGAGTACGTAGCAGATTAAAGCATCTAAGAGATTTGTGTCTGGTGCCCCTCCTGGACCTACCCCCCCTTCTCCTTCCAGATTCCCACTGTCGTCCTCCTTGGTTTTCTTTGTTGGGTCCTATCCCATTCCGTGCAGCTCAGTGATCTTTTTCTCTCCCTCCATGTCTCACCCCCATCCCCTGTAGTTACTCCCCAAAGTACCATTGCTCAGAAGCTCCCCACCCCCGCCCTGACCTTCATTTCTTGCTCACTCTCAAGTGTCTTGTCAGCTTGTCAGTCCGCATCAGGAGCACACAGGCACAAGCCCCCTTGTTTCCAAACCCCTCACCACATAGATCAGTGTCTGCTCTCCTTCCCTTCTGTCCCAGAGGAAGAGGCGGCCTTTCCAATCCTACCCAAGCCAGTAAATTCACTATTTTTTTATTTTTGTAAGCATTTATTTCACTTTACAGAACACCTAAGTACATAACGATCTAAAAGCCCTCCACCCTATTGTCCCAGACCCCACCCCACTTTATATCCCCAACACCCCACCTCCTGCTTACCATCCCCTGACCCTGATCTCACCCTCCCTAGGTAATACCTTGTTTGCTAAATGTCTTTCCAGACCTTTCTATGCTTTTTCAAACATCAATCAATAACATCAACAACAAAAGACACATATAAATCTATAATATACACATCATACATATGCAGAGTTACAGAACTTTGGGGGGCTTTGTTTCACACACACAAAACTGGCTGTCCTATTTTTTTCATTGAACAGTACAATGGACATGCCTCCAATACAGTATGCGGGGGTCTGTCTCCTCCGCTTTCTTCAGCTGTCTCCTTCCCCATGGTTCAAGTTTCTCCCCTGTTCCAGAGAACCCTCTCTCAGCCCTGTATCCAACCCCACCCCTTCCCTTCACAGCCAGAACTACTCCAAGAGCTCGCCCTGACTGCACTTCCTTGCTTCCTATTTACTCCCCAGTCCTTGTGGTTTGGCCTCTGCCCCTCCCCAGCCTAGATCTGCTCAGAGATCAAAAGTGAGTACCAGACCCAGTGAACACTTTTCACCTCCTATCTTAGGGTCTCCCCTGCAGCCATGGGCACTGCAGAATATGCTCTACTTGCACCTCCCTTCCCCCTGTTCTGACTGCTCCTAAGGACCTCCTTGCCTCCATGGTTCCCAAACAGTGGCAGTTTTGCTCTCTAGTGGACGTGTGGCAATTATCTGGAGGCATTTTTGGCTGTGACACCTAGGGGGTAGAGACCAGGGATTCTGCCAAACATCCTACAGTGTACTGGATAGCCCCCTGCAACAAAGAATTACTCACTCTCAAGTGTCAAGAGTACCCTAGAAAGATATAGATGAGCCCTGCCCCAGAAGGCTATAAATGAGCCCAGAGATATTTCTGAAAATGCAAGTTAGGGCTCTTGCCCCCAACCCTGATGGTTGTCCACACCTGGCCCAATAGGAGACAGCCCAGAGTCATAGCCAGCTGCTGTAGAGATGTCCCAGGGCCATGACAGCTTCAGACCCTAGGTCAAGAGAGTCCCTGGGTAATATCCAGGGCTCTTCTAGTTGTATTATGGTCCAGGTGTGAAACCTCACCATCTTTCCATTTGTGGGCTAACCCATACATTTAGCCTCCTTCAACACCACTCACAGTCATGAAAGGAGACACAGCCCATCCTCTCCCCTCCCTCTTTCCCAGTTTACCCCCTCCCCCTGGAAATTGATTTCCCTTTGGGATATGTTCTATTCTACATTTCTGAATTCACTGAGGGATTTGTAGCCAGATTCCCCTCCCACTATTACTCTAGTGGTGGGTTGGGAGAGAGAATCCCTCAGGATGGCACCACACTGGTCCGTGGTCTAAACCAGTAAACCCTCTGGGCACTATCAGTTGCTGACTCACCTCTTAGGCAGTGGCAGGAGTTTCCAGTTCTGCCACTGGGGATTGGGGAGGGTTCTCCTGTTGTGGAGCTAGACAGCCATAGCAGTCCTTGTCTGCAACTGGTGCTGGTGTCCCCTGTTTGTAGATCTGAAAGATTTTCTTAGGAGTGGCAAATCTCTGCTGTGTTGTAAGCCCAGGGTTAACTACAGACCTGTTTTGATCATTTCTCATGATATAACTTGATCAGAACATGAACAAGCTTCCTGTCCAATTCATTCCTGGAAACAGTGAGGATGCAGGAATCCTCACTATACCCGTAACTCTCTCATACTCCTCCCCAGCCAAGTTCTGACAGTTTCTTTGACAATCTATGGTTTGTAACTGCTCTTCTGGTGCCAATTTCTGACTCGGAAATAACCTGGTTGCCCAGAACAGGAACCCACTCAAGTTAGCTTAAAGAAATGGGGATCTGTGTAGATTGGATTTTCACGATTGCACAATTGCAGAGAATGGAAAAGTGGTCATGCCACCATTTCTCCAACTCTTGGGGCTGCAGGATCAACTCCTGTGCTGCTTCTCCGTGCCTTAATCTGCTCCCTGGGACCCCATTCTGGCATCCTTTAAAAGACATTTGGCTTCTATAAAGCACACAGTCCTGCTCCCTGACAACCAGGACCAGGCCTTGGCTGTGGCCTCGGCCCCAACTCCAAATAACCCACTGTTTCCTTACCCAACACCACCCTGACTATGGAATCCGCCTCTCTGTTCACATTCTCTAGTGTGAGAGACTGTTTGGCTCAGGATGGGTCAGGTGTCCACTCCTGCTCCAATCATATACAGCCTAGGTGGGGAGAGGGGTGGGTTGCCATATACATGGCTGCTCAGGTCCACCAGATACTAGGGTTGGGGAGGGAGACACATACAAACAGAAGCTACAGTGCTTTTGGGGCGTGGAATTCTAATGCTCTGGAACACAAAGGGGGTCAATCAAAACATGTCTCTCCCTGTCACTCTACACCCTCTCCACTTCCCACCCCACCTCCCCCCCCACTCCACCCAGTTTCCTCCCTCACCTCCCCCCAACCCTGAAAATTGATTTCCCATTGGTATATGTTTTTGTTCAGGGGTTTCACATTTCTAAAATTACCGAGGGCTTTGCAGCCAGATTCCCCTCCCACAGCGGAAGCAAATTTCCCTCCTTGAAAAATTCACAGCTTTACACCAAGGGCAGTCCCAATCCCCAGGCCTGCGAGATACGGGAGGTCTTCTCTGCTGACGGGGTTTGGAATCTCTCCTGTCTCTCTGGGATTCCTGAGGGTCTGTTCCCTGGGACCCCCCATCAGACCACAGGCTACCATCAGAGGGCCTCCTCTTGGGAGCTGTCTGAGATGGAGCTCCTGCTGTGAATGTTGCTGCTGGTGGGGGTGGTGCAGGTGCAGGTGCAGGTGGGAAGGGGGATGAGGGGCATGAATAGGAGTAGGTGAATGAGGTAGGGAGCTGGACAGGGAGGGGTGGTGGCGTGACTCTGGTCCTAGAGAAATAAAACATGGCTGTTTCCACTGACCTGAGCTCTCCCTCCCTCTGCCCACCAGTGGTGTAATTTTTCTGCTCCATGGCTCCAACCACGTGCACGAGGCCTCCACCCAGCTCCTTTGCGGCTTCTGCCCCCAGTGCATCCTTCGGTCTTCTTTCTCTTCCTGTGGCACCAGCAGCAGTAACAGAGGTAGCAGCAGCTTGGGATTCCTCCTCCTCCTCACAGGCCCCTTCTCTCCCAGCCCCACTGGCAGTGGCCAGGCCTGGCTCCTCTGAGGCTCGGCCCTGCTCCCTGGGACGCCCCAGCTGTTGGGAGACAGGAGAGCAGAGTTGAGACTCATTCTGGGGACAGGGCAGGGAGATGGGGTGGGGATCAAGTAGAGATAATCTTACAACCTGTAAGAGCTTCCACCTCAGGAGCTTCTGTTCCTTCTGTATCTCCGCCAGGTTTGCTTGTGTCTGCCGCAGCCGGAAGGCTGACTCCTTGCGCTCCATCTCCTGCTGCTCTGTGAACTCCTTTAGGTCTGTGGCCAAGGCCTCTGCAGCAGACTTATGCAGTTTGGCAAAATCATGCAGCCAGTGCACCCTGCGCCCGTGTAACTGGCTCTGCCTGCGGGCAAAGCGCACGCCCAGGGCCAGGCTGCTCCAGGCACAGGCATCTTTGGCCTCGCTGGGCACCGCGCTGTCCTCCAGGATGTCCCTGAGCTTGTTCTCCACCTCCTCCCAGGACAGGGATATATTCTCGAGGTAGAACTCAGGGCCTCTCCTGTGCCCGGCCATCTTCTCATTGATGAAGGCCACCACACTGTTGTGCTGGAACCCAGCACTGGGGTCGTCAGGTTTCAAGGACATGACGACTGAGCACCTTAGGGGTTTGGCTGTCCCTGTGGGATGAATCAACCAGTTGTCCACTCTGCAGGGTTCCTCCCTGGCCCCCTCACCGCCTGCCCCACGCTCCCCCTCACCACCCTTGCCGACCCTTCAACCCCCGTCTCCC